CCCCCCCATGTCCAGTAAACCGGAGGTCCTGCAGCGGCTCGATCTCGCAGGGGTAGGTGAAGGCGCAGGGCAGGGTGACGGAGCCCCCAGCCGGCCCCGCAGGAACTCGGGCTGGGTCACCTGGTACCGGGGGTTCTGGGCAGCCGCTGCAAAGACCTCCAGAGACACAATCCCGTCACCGCGGCCGCCCCCGGGGTCCCACCCACAGCCAGTGGGGCACAAACGCCCCCCAGCCTCCAGCCCCCTTCCAGCCCCCCAGCACCCACACTGCACAAGCCAGCCCAGCCCCAGGCCCCCGCCCCATTCTCCTGCCCCAGCCAGCCCCTCCCTGTGCCCCCACCCCATTAACCAGGGAACCAATTGGCTAAGAGGGAATTGGTCAGTGAAAATGCAAATGACCTGGCTGGCAGGAGGGAGGTGCTGCAGGGCTCAGGATACCTGCCTACCTGTAACCAGACCCCTGGGGCTGAGTGTGTCGGAGAATTACTCCCCACCCCCCTGCACACTGGAGAGGGAGCTCGCTGGCTCTGATGCTGTAAGGAGAGCAGAGAGCTCGCTGCCTGCCCCCACTGGGACAACAAGGACAGTGCTGGGAGCTGAGACCCCAGCTGAGTGGGGGGACACACAGGCAGGGCAGGTCGGCTGCCAACCAGGTTTGCCTGGTCCAGACGTGCTGCTGGGAAGTGATTACACAGCAGGGAGGAAGCTACCAGGGACAGGGCTCAGAGGGGCTGTGACCCCAGGCCCAGCCAGTAAGAGGGAGCAGGTCCCACTCCCTTCCCCAGCAGCTGAATTCCAGACCGAGCTGCGGAAGGATCCCTCCTTGGAGAAGCTGAGGGAACTTGCTGGCCACAGCGCTGCAAACCCCCTTGGGGAAGGCTGCAGGGACAGAGTCCTGTGGGAGAAGGGATTCCTGTACCAGGAATGGGCTCCCCAAGGGGAAGGAGAACTGTGGGGAATCGGGAGGCAGCTGGTGGTGCCCCAGGAATCCACAGGGTTCTTCCCTTTCGAGCTGCTGTATGGGAGGAGAGTGAGGGGACCCCTGGACCTGGAAGGGGAGGATTGGGAGGAGAAGGGGGAAGACCCCCTGGTGGATCTCTTCCCTGAGGTGGGAGCCAATCTCCCCATCAGGTGTTCTCCGTTCAGAGTCACTGGGAAAGCAGCCCAGAACCTGGAGAGAGAGGTCAAGGACATGCTGGTTTTAGATGTGATCCAGCCATTCAACACCCGTGGGCCTCACCCGTGGGGCTGGTCCCCAAGGAAGACGGGATGATCTGGTTTTGTGGGGATTATTGGAAGCTTAAAGCCATCACAGTGTCCGATGCCTACCCCATGCCTAGACCTGGGGAGATTCTAGACAAGCTGAGGGGGATGGAGAACGTGGCCCTAGCGTACATCAATGACATGTGTGTCTTTAGCCAGACCTGGGAGGAACAGGTGTCCCAGGTGAAGAGGGTGCTGGGCTGCCTCAAGGAGGCAGGACTGACGGTAAAAGCCGAAAAGTGCAAGGTGGAGGTGATCAGAGATTGGCCCATTCCCCAGACCAAGAAACAAGTCCAGGCCTTTATCAGGATGGCGGGGTGCTACCAGAGGTTTGTACCCCACGTTAGCCCCCTAGCTGCCCCCACCCCTGAGCTATGTGAGAGGGGTGTGCCAAGGGGTAAGCCAGACGAGGTGGTCTGGACCGAGCAGGGCCAGAGGGCTCTCTGTATACTGAAGGAGGCTCTAATCCAGGGCCCGGTAAATCTGGTAAACCCAGACTTTGCCAAGCCTTTTGCAGTGTTCACCGACGCCTCAGACGCAGGGCTGGGCATGGTGCTAATGCAAGCCGATGCTAAGGGCGGGAGACACCCCATCGAGTACCTGAGCAAGAAACTGCTGCCCTGGGAGCAGAACTATGCGGCCTCGAGAAGAAATGCCTGACCATGGTGCAGGCCCTTAGAAAGCTGCAGCTGTATCTATTTGGGCGGCGCTTTACTGTGTATACTGACCACTCTCCTCCGACGTGGTGGTGTCAAATGCAAGGGGCTGATGCCGAGCTGCTGGGGACAGAGACACCTGTTCAGAGGGTGGCCAAGGTCCAGAAGGGGGCTCTTAACCATCTTAACTCCGTGACACACCCCAGACAGTTTGGCATCAGCTCTGCCTAGCTTGCTTGATGGCCCATTAAGGACCATCACTACACAACTGACCCATTGAGAGACGGCAGATACGCCTTGTGACTCAGCAAGGCAGAGACCTGCCTATGGACCAAACTCTGAGGTTTTTCTATGGTGCCATGTGCTGGGCGGCTTGTCTTGGGACAAAGGAAGCAGAGACCACATGGCAAGAGCCTATAAAAGGCAGCTGTAGCGCCTCCATCTTGTCGACAATCCTGCGTCTCACCTCTGGAGGGACTTTGCTACAAACAGAAGCTCTGAACAAAGGACTGAAGGACCCATCCCAGCTGGGGATGTTCCAGAGACTTCATTTGAACCTGCAGCTTATCCCATCCCAGCTACAAGCCTGAACCAAGAACTTTGCCATCACTGTACGTAACTGATTCCATGTAACCAATTCTAGCTCTCAGCGATGTTTCTTTCTTTTATGAATAAACCTTTTGATTTTAGATTCTAAAGGATCGGCAACAGCGTGATTTGTGGGTAAGATCTGACTTGTATATTGACCTGGGTCTGGGGCTTGGTCCTTTGGGATCGGGAGAACCTTTTTTCTTTTATTGGGGTATTGGTTTTCATAACCATTCGTCCCCATAACAAGTGGCACTGGGGGGATACTGGGAAACTGGAGTGTCTGAGGGAATTGCTTGTGTGACTTGTGGTTCGCCAGTGGGGTGAGACCGAAGTCCTCTCTGTTGGGCTGGTTTGGTGCCTGGGTGTGCAAAGGACCCCAGCCTTGGGCGGGGTCTGCCCTGCTCTGAGCGATTTGTCCTGGATTGATACTCTTGGTTGTGTCCCACCAGAGGCAGCATCGGTACAGGGATCCTGCTTCTCACCACTGCCCCCCAGATATGCGAGACTCCCGCCTTGCTCCTGGATGTGGGGGATCTGTGCCTGGTAACAGCTCTCTCTCTCTCTCTCCCCCCTGTGGTATCCCGGGGCCCTCCACGGTTCATCCCCTCTCACCTGTCACCGTGAGGTGGGTCCCAACGTGACGGCGCCATTGCTCCCATGTGCCGTCGTTCTTCTGCACCCTGACGTGGCAGACGTACTCGCTGGCGTCCGACTCCCGCAGCCGGTCGATGCGGATCGAGGCCGTTCGGTTCCCCTGCGGGTCCCCGACCAGGACAATGCGGCCCCCGTAATCTGGGTGGGTGAACCCCTCGGGGTGATTGTAGATAAACTTGCCATAGAATCCCCCCGTCTCCAGTAAACCCAGACATCCCGCAGCGGCTCGATCTCGCGGGGGTAGGTGAAGGAGCAGGGCAGGGTGACGGAGCCCCCGGCCGGCGCCGACAGGGACACGGGATGGGTTATCTGGTACCGGAGATCCTGGACAGCCGCTGCAAAGACCCCCAGAGACACAATCCTGTCACCGCGGCCGCCCCCGGGGTCCCACCCACAGCCAGCTGGTCACAAACACCCCCCAGCCTCCAGCCCCCCAGCACCCACACTGCCCCAGCCAGCCCTCCCATGCCCCCGTCCCATTCACCCCGACGCGCCCAGGCCCTCCCTGTTCCCCTGCCCCATTCACCCTGCCCTAGAGCAGCCCCTCCCTGTCCCCACATCACCCCTTGCTGTTTGAGTCTCACCAGTGAGAAGGGGGCCGCGCCCCAGTTCTGTGCACCCCTGTGTCACGGCCCAGGGGACTCACCCCCCACCAGGGGCAGCAGCAGCTCCCGCCGCATGGCCCCAGCGAAGGCGACTCCGGCCCCACTGGCTCTGTTCCCCCCCCCCTCTCTTTTGAGGAGGCTGGTGACACCTTGGTCCTTCCTGTGTGAAATCTGCCCCCCCTGCCCTGGGCCAATGAGACACTGCGGGGAGGAGAAGCGGGGACCACGGATTAGGACTCCTGGGTTCTCTCCCCGGGAGGGGAGT